CCAGGATCCTGCCGGGACTCTGTTTACAAGGCACACAGGGACCTTGAAACACCAACAATTTTAATGTCACATCACACTACTTCCCTTTTTAAAAAGTGAGATGTTATTTGTTTTATAACTTTTCTGTACTTTGATATGCATTATAAAAAGTAAAAGCCTTAAGAATAACAAACACTAATACATATACAAAATCAGAACCCAAAAGCATTCAAATGTCTCTGAGAGTCAGCATCACCATATCCTGGTCAATTCTCTCCTGTATGGAGGACACACAGACAGGAGGACACACAAGGTAGAATGCAAACCTCAGGGAGAAAGGCCAATAAATTGAAAAGTAAAATTCAAACTATGCCTCTGTCATAATGTCTATTGGGCTTTTCTGCAGATATATTTCTCATAATGTCAAATGTTAACACCTACACACCAACCTTTCATAAAAATTTATAATCTAGAAATACTCATTTACTTTCTCAAATTAAATCTGAAATTAAAATTTCAAATGAGATATAAATTTGCCCTGATACGAAGGAAAAGCATTAACAGCGATTTCAGATTTCAGAGTTTCAAAAAAGTTAACAGTGATATGATTACAAAATAAAAGCAACAATAAATCACTTCTAAAGTGTCTTTGTGTCGGGATGGGAAAGAGCTCTTCTGCATGAGTTCTGAAATCACAGGGAACCATGGACCCTGCCCTTGCATTGAACTTGTTTGCAAACACTTTTCTAAGCCTACCTAAACACTTACTAATTGCTTAAATGTGCTGCCTACATTAATTCATGTTAAAATTAAAGAAATTAAAGGTCTGCCTTTGTTTTCAAGCAATGACAGACATGCTTTCAACATATTCAGTGTTTTAGAAAAAAATGTTTCTAAGGTTCTTCAAACACTTGAGAGTCATCTCAAGGGAGGGCTTCTCTCTGTCACCCTGAACAGATCCCCCTTGCTTAGCTTTTGCTCAACAGATACACTTTTCTTCTGAAACTCTTCCCTCACATGCTCACATGGAACAGGTTAACTTTTTATATGTTAAATTCCTAAAGTAGAAAATTACAAATAATAATATCAAAATATTCCTAGAAGGGTGAACATTTTGATTATACAACTTGAGAAAAATGATTACTGAAAGCAAACTTCAAAGGCAGCAATGGACATGGATTTTAGTTGTCTTTTTAAAAATCCCAGTTACAATAGGAACATGACATTTAATTTAGAAACAACAATTTAATTCTTAGGTAAAATTCCAGGATACTATATGAAAATGTATTTCACAAAAATAAAAACTCTAATAACAATGAAGGTAAATTCCCATATTTGATTGATATTAAAACATAAACAGCATTCTTAAAATTTCCAACTATATTGATAGACAAATTCACTGTTTTAGCTATAAAATGTATTTACTGAAATATTTTGATTATAATAAATATACAGATATGGAGTTTTATCAGTACTAGCCCACACTCACTAAATCATCTACCACAGCAGAAAAATTCTTTTCAGAATTCTGAACAGCAACACTGGGCATCTAAGTCTCAGACAGGTATCTAAATCAGTGAGGTTTCTCTGACCTTATGTGGAGCAGGAGATACCCTTAGATAATTTTGTAAACTGGTATAATTTAATAGGACTTCTAGACAAAGGACGTTCAACAGGTAGGATTTCTATGGCATCAGAAAATCTTAAAAAACCAGTTCAATCCAGTTATTGTGGCTCTCTATCTAAACGAGACTCTAAGACTCACAGGTTTTAATCTGGGCATTCTGAGCACATTTTCTGATTTAGAAAAGTAACTGGCTGTACAAAACCCAAACATAAAGTTTATATCACTCTATATGAGAAAGAATAACCTTTAATAGGAGAACTTCTGTTGAGGTTGACAATAAAGAATGGAATCCTATTTTTAAGTGCCCAAACAACTTAATAGCTCAACGAGCTAACAACTAAAAGCAAAAACCTGCCTTGACTTTGACTGACACTGAATATATTGGTATTAGTATTTGGTTTGCTGAAGTGGCAACTGTTCAGTATCCAAAAGTCTGGTGTATTTTAAGCACAAAGCACAATCCTGACTACTTATAGTCAAAGTAACTATCTTAAGCCAAAAACACAATGAAAATGCAAAATAAACTTCAGAGGTTTTCGAAGTAATGCAGGAATTTCTGAACCCTTTGGACAGAAGGTTAAAGTGGGGAGGGGTTATTTTCTTCACTGATACTTTAATCTCTTTTCAACCCATTATGATTTAATAGTGATTTGTGACACTGTGTTTTCTTTAGTGACTTCTTAGAAAGCTGTGGCTGTTTCCCAAGTGGGAAACCACAGGATGATGCTCGCAGGACACTGAGAGAATTCTCGTGAAGGTATTTACAGAAAGGTGCTGAGAAATGTTCAGTTAGAAACAGGAACTAGCACACAATGGACTTCAAAATAATAACTTTCATACAGTATGGCAAAAGAGAACATTGCCTAAGAAGCCTAGAAATTCAGTTCTAACTCTGATCCATTTCTACAAACTGTAAAAAACAAAGCAACACAGAGGTGCATTTCCCAAACTCCATATGCCTGTGGAAAACCCAATGTCAGTTGTTTCCAGTCCAGATCAGTCTTCATCTCAAGTACCAGGACAGTTAACAATGGACACATTTGACCTTTCGAAAATACTGTGGCCATCGAAGGCACAAGAGCCGATAGGAGCTAAAGATCAGTAAACATTGCCTGTTAGACACAAATCCCTTCTGCTGAAAAGATGCAAATTGATAGGTTTCAGGATTTTCAAGCATTTTCACTTCCACAGGGTAAAGTTACAACATATGCATAGGGTGGACTTGAAAAATGGATGTGTATATAAAGTTTTCCATGGTCTTCACGAGAGCCACTCCCGCCTCCCCAGAAATGCCTACTGCTTACAATGCTCAAGAATCTTCACCACTTTGCCTGTAACTTCCAACCAGAAGTCCTCAATGTACCTGAAGCCAAACTGAATATTAGGTATTTTACAAAATGGCTGTAAACCCCCATTATGGGCATCCATGGCTCTTTGATCTCACTGCACAGAATTCATAACTGTTCAATAATGCTATACCATTACACCACACACCTTCAAGTATTTCCATTTTTCCACAATTCCTTCCAAAATCAGCTTCCAGAGAAAAGCAATGTAACATGAAAAGTTTCTGGGAGGGCTCGTTACATAAAAGAACAGCGTGGATGAAAACTAAGCCACACACATATCCATCTTCTGCCGGGCTTGTTTATCCCTCCTCTCCCTCCATCACTCCTAAACGTGGGTGCACTTAGTAATGGAAAGAGAAGGCTCTTCCATCAGCACCCACTTCCAGCACCTCTGCCTTTGGTCTTCAGACAGTAAAGTCTGCTTAGGTGATGCAAACCCTAAGAAAAGAGAGGCTGTCCCTTTAAAATGCCCTGCTCTGTCCCAGATCCCACGTGGAACCAACATCAGCAGCACTTTCCCACTACCATCAATGTGATGCAAGAGGCACCATCCTTTTATATACATAAAACCAGAAACCCTCAGTCCAACATTCCTTAGTGAGGGCGAACAGGTGAAGCAAACGTGTCAGGAAGGGAGAAGCCAAACAACTCCCCACCCCTCCCCAGAAGGTTCGCCAGTCTCGCCCTCCAGTCTCTCTGGGCAACAGCACCTTTCCACCCCTCCTCTGGAGAGCCCAGTTTAAAGAAAGGAGGGAGCCACTAACAAAACCTGAGGCATAAATGCGACGAAAATGCAATCTAAAGCCGCAAAGGTTTATTCTTCCAATCACACACATTAACTCTATTAAGAAAATGGCATCACTTTCTTTCCTACCAAAAAAAGCAAACCCCGCAAAGATCATTAAAAGGGAGTTATAAAATAGCAAATATCGTGTTTATCTTATCTCAGATCAGTCCACGTTACCAATAAGTTTAGCAGTTTCTGCACTACCACCTCCCCCTCCCTCCCCCTGCTTCTCTTGCATTGGATTTTCACGTTTTCTCATTGTCGGTGGAGTTATAAAAGGCTTTTGCCCTTCGAAAGTTTTAAAAAATAAATAAATATTAACTCCTTGGTCCCTGCAAAGTCAAAATGGACTTCAGGGGAAAGGCGGTTCACACTTTTACCTTTAGCGAGAAAGGGGGGAGCATCCCGGATTTTTAGGGATTTTTTGCGATTTTTTAACAATTTTTATTTGGTTATATGCCTGAGTTCTCCCTCCATTTTGGTTGTTTATGATACTGACAACAAGCTGTCCCTGCTCCGTCCCGATCTCCTGCTTTCATTTAGCACCCCCTCCCCCTACGCCCCCGCCGCCACCCTGCTGGGTCCGGCGCCCCGCGGACCCCGCACCCCGACTCGGCTATCCCACCTGGGCAGAGGGCAAAAACAAATGCATTTCTCCAGAAAAGAAAAACCTCTTCGGAAAAGGGGGCAAAGTTACCCCAAGTCACTCCCAGTGCCCCCCAAATATTGCCGACCGCGGGTCTCCGCCAGGCCCTTTGGGAAGCGACCTTCCCCCGGGATGTTTTGGTGGAAAATGCGGAGAGTTTCCTCTCAAAACCGAATTTATATTAATTTTTCCCTTATTTTTCGGGTCTCTAATGTCTTCCGCTCTCGCTGCTGCCGCTGCCGCTGTCACAATATTCACAGCACCAGAGAGGAGGAGGAGGAGGAGGAAAACTTTTCAAACTTTCCAGACCCTGAATAAAAGGGTTTTTTTTTTCCCACCGACCTCACCTTCGGGTCCCCAGACGCGTCGCCCCCTGCCCTGTCAGCAGCGACCTCGGGAGTCCTCGCAGCCCCGCCGCACGATTTTATTTGATTTTTTATTATTATTTTTCTCTCTGGGGTCCTGAGCAGGGGCTGGGAGTAGCACAAACTTTTCCTCCTCCTGCCGCCGCCGCGGCTCCTCTGCCCCCTCGGCTAGTCCCATAATTTAAATAACCCTGATATTCCTCCCGCTAAACGCCTCCCCGCCGTCCCGGACCCCGGGAGAACTCACCGCGGGGCTTTAACATCCTCCCTCCGGCCCGTCCGCCGCCTTTACACCGCCCGCGGAATTTCTAATAATTTTTTTCTCATATTTCGGGCTGGACGCGGCGGGCCTGGAAATTGTTTCCTTACGCCTCTTTCCAGCAGCCATTGTAGTGTATGCGCTGCCCCTGCAGCTCAACTTGCAGCTGCCGCCGCCGCTGCCGCCGCCGCCGCCGCCGCCGCCGACGTCGCGCCCACTGCCGCCTCCCCCCGCCCGCTCGGCCGCCGCCCCCGCCCCGCGCCCGCCCGCTGGCCCGCCCTGGCCCTCGCCCGCCTCGGGGCCCGCCCCCCACCCGCTCCGCCCCGGGTCCGGCCAATCCGTGAGGCCGCCGCCGTGTTCCGGCAGATCCATTGGTTGGCGGGGCTGCCCGTCAGGCAGAAGTGTTAAGAGCGAGGCTGTAGGGCGGGGGGCTCGGTGGGGCGGAGCGAGGGCGGGGTCTCACACCGCCCCACCCACTCCTTCTGCCTGGGCCCTCCTCCCACCGCCCGGGGGCGGAGCGAACAGGGCCCGCCCCCACCGCACAGAGTCCCGCGCGCCTGTCAATCTGGCAGCGGCGCGAGTGGATTGGACAGGCCGAAACGGGGGGCGCGGGGGCAGCACGTTGGGGTGCGCGCTACTTAAGGTCCTGCTGCGTGAGCCACTGACGTGTTTGGAGCTGGAGCGGGCTCGGGTGCTGGTGGAGTTGCGACCGGTGGTGAGTGGTCGTCGGCCCCTCCCTCCCTCCACCGCAGGCCCCGGACCACACTAGCGGAGGAGCCCGACCCTAGTTCGCGGCGCCACATCCTCTGCGGCGTGCCCCGCTGTCGCTGCTCGCGCTACGCTATCCCGCTGGGGCAGCGGAAGGTGACCCCATGCAGGTCTGGACACCCCGGATAGTGTCACTCTCTGCCCTGCTCTTCCCGGGTCCCCGCGCTCTGCTGCTCCCCCCACTCCCCAGCCCCCGTGTCGTGTTCACCTGTGCCCGGTGTCCACGGTCGGACACTGCGGAGCGGCACCCTGGAAGGCGAGGCGGTCCGGGAGTCGCATGCATTGGGCTCTCCTCCGATCTCCCAGTTCTCGGGGTGGTGTGTACTTTGACTTTATGTCCCTGATTCTCTGTACCCAGGTTTACAGCGTGGTGTGTTTCTGCTTCCGGATTTAGCTCTCAGACCTGACTCTGAGCAGCCTAGGGGCCTGGACGTGTTCAGTAACGCGCCCTTCCCCCACCACGGATCAAAGCTACGAGGAGAGTGGGAATCGGGCATCAGGAACTCTTTTGGTAAGCAGTTTGCCCCTTAGAGTAGATTTTAGAGTTATTCCTCACGTGTGCTGTAGGTTTGGAACCTCCCTCAAACCTTTGATTTTTTTTTTCTTTCTTTCTGAATATCCATCCACTTGGAAGTAGTAGAACTTTGTAACAGTTGTTCACTCCTGAATCTTCAAAGAGTCAGCAGATAAGGCCTCTTCAGCAGGGCACTCCATCTCGCCCTTCAGCAGCACTCTACCAAGTAAATTGACATTTCCTCTTCCTGAACAGTTCACACAGGGATTCATGTGAAGGAGGGGGCATTCGGAAATCCATGTTTAAAGTGACTTGTGTTTAGAATCCAGAATAAAAGACAACGAAGTGGGAATAGCTTGAAGCAGCAAATTTGATACCTGTATTGTGTAGGTATTTTTAAAGATTTTTCTGGCAGATGATACTGACAGAACAGAATCCCTTCGTGGTTAGGACAGAGCTTGAGTTCTGTTTGTGTCTGATTGTTGCTGAGATTATTATATGCCTGGTGTATGAAGAATCAAGCAGAGTTCTGTGAAGACATGACAGGATAGATATGGAAGAGAAGATGGTAAATTTTCTTAGACCCGTTATTTCTCTTAGGAAGAGTCAGTCGTATAACATTCTGCCCTCCGAGGAGCAAAGGCTTCTAGATACAGTTGGACTCTGTACTGAGTTTCTGTCAAGATGCTTCTATTGGCTGGATATTTTCAATGAAGGTCATGAAATAAAATAATTATTTGGTAATTACTGAGAGTTAAAGAACTGAAGAATAATCAGAACCATCCTTTCTATCCCACAGAAGGGTTAGACTCCTTTAGACTAGACATCTGGCTGTTTCTCAGTATAGAAGGAACTGGATAGGGTGACCATTGACTGAGAATACATTCACTTATCTGACGTTCAGGGGCTTGAATTACTTTTTCTGAAGATATGTTATTTCTTTGAACATTTTTGTGACATTTCATACAAAAATTCTTGCTTCTCTGAAAATGCCCATGCATGTTTTTGTCTTTTTGTTTTTTTAATTCAGTGGCATTGTGAACATCATACTGTCTTGTTTCTCTGGAATCTACTTTGATTTTTAGGTAGAAAAATGATTAAACTAGGGCAGGATTTGGGCATGTATGTCACATCAGCGCCTTATGCTTGGTGCAGGGATTTTTTCCAAAGATGGTGGGCTGCGTATTAATGCCATATCAATGTATTGAAACAAATAGAGATCACTCTGAAGTGGCTGAGACTACTGCTGTTTTCTTTGAAGAGAATTGTCACCAGTTTCCCTTGAGCTGGATTCTGAGGAACAGTTGTCCTGAACCATGACTGATAGACAGCTTTACTTCCTGAAGTGTGGTCCTCTCCTTGGGATAGCTGAATGACTCTCAGGGAAGTGTACTGTCTTTAATCAGTCAAGACTTCTTGCAGAACTGTATGTCTAAGACTCCAGTTGGAAAATTACTGAGCCAACAGTAGCATTCCCTGACTTCCTCCAGCCCAGGGGTGTGGCCTTTAAGTAGAGGTAGCGCTGGAAGAAAACTCTTCATTGGAACGCTCACCAAGCAGTAACTTGGCTTTTCGAGATACTCACTGCTAAAGTACCTTCTGCTTAGAGAGTTAAGTTTTCCATGCTTGTGAGGTCGTTTCCTTCTGACCTGTTTTTCTCCCAGGTGTCTGCAGTGAGAAGACAAGATGCCCCTGGTCACACGGCGCCTGAGGGACCCTGACATAAACCCTTGCTTGTCGGTAGGGTGGTTTGTTTTTCATTGTTGTGAGTGTTAACTTGGGAAAACCGCTCTTAATTTTGTTGGCGTTTGTTTCCGACAGTTATTGAATAAAGTATTATTCTATGAAAAAGATATTCCTGGCCAGTGTATTTTATTTCACTCTGACATTTAAAAATGACCAAAATGTAGCTAACAAAGACTCTTTTCTTCAGTTTTGCTTAGTTGTGAAGGAAGCCGCATTTGGTTGTCGCTGTAAAGCTTGGCCAGCATATGTAACGCCAAGGAAAATCTTGAAATCTAAACGTGGTACAGCACAGCAAACTCTTAAAAACAATGGTTTTAATCACAACAGTTATTTAATCTTTCTTTGAGACAACCTGGCTGAGTCATAGGGTGCCGGTACAATTAGCTTATTTTAAAGCTTAGTGGTTCTCACAAAGGTATCTTAAAAACAACATTGTGTTGAAATAATAACCTTTTGTTCACATTAATTGGCTATAACTTGTAACACTCTGTTGTGTCCTTGCCATCATATTGTTGCCATATGGAGCACTAAGGCACCATCCTGTATGGACTTTTCAGACACACACACTATACAGTATATACCCATTGGTCTGTATATTCTGTTTCCAACAACTTTATTAAGTATGCAAATATTGTTTAGATAAGTTATATTTCTTAGAATGGTGAAACAGATTGCCTGCCTATTGGAAACTTTATTTTGATAACTTCTCATAGCCATACCTTTTTTTTTTTTTTTTGAAGCTCGTTGTCCAAACCGCTTCTAGTTCAGGCAGCTTAAGTTTAATTACCAGTGCTACCTACTTCATTTCAAACGCACGGCCCTGTGCTGCTAACTTTCTTTTTGAAGTCACATTAATGATAACTATTAAAACTGCATATGTAATAGTACGCTTGCGTAATGGAGTGAACGATAGCCAAAAATGCAGCTAGATGAATGCTGTTAATTTAGGTGGCCTTGATGTAGATCACTTACTTGTGTAATTTACCTGGAATCTCAAAACGAGCGTTAAGATCAAACATCAAGTCAAAATGAGAATTGGGGAAAGCCAGGAGCGCGCCATGAGCTGGGAGACAGGTTTCTCCCGCTTGCTGTGGAGCAATGCTCCGCATGGTAGATCTCGCTTCAGCTTCTGGGACAAATGACCACAGTCAGTGCTTTGGCTCAGACTCGTGTGATCAGATACTTAGTAAACTGTCCCGGACTGGAAAAAAAAAGATGTCTTTTTAAGTTGAGTGACTTCTGGAATAGTTGGCTATATTATTTGGGTTTTATAAGTCTACCCACTAAAATATGAACGAAAATAAACCCTTTCCCATCTGCTCAGAGGGGAAGCGATTTCAGAAGCCTTTGTGTTGGGGTCTTTTTTAGATCACATTCCACATTTTAAATGACGACTCTCTTACATATTTAAGGAATCTGATGCTTCTACCAGATGTATGGATGAAAATAACTATGCCAGGGAAAGATGTTCAAATTACTTCTTGAAGTACAAAAACTGCCGGCGATTCTGGGTAAGCCCACTTTGGCACGCTTCTGGTTAAAACTCTGCTCTTGGCTCTTGACTGAAGCTGATATCAATCAATAACCCACATTCTTTCTAATAATGGCTGGAGGGAAGTTTAACCTCCAGCCTTACCTCCCATGTAGTATTTCAACCCTATGGGGTCCTTGAGAGATTGTTTCATTCTAGTGTAAGGGTTAATGCTTCAGTTTCAATATAAATAAGTCTTCCCAGGGAAGTATCTGCAATCATAAAATAGCCTTGTTATAAATTTGTGTTTCCTGAAGAAGAGAAAGTATAGTTTACCTTGATGTCATACATCCCCTTAGACTTTCGTTTCTGTCTCCTTTCCCACAGCAATTACAGTGTTAAAATGTGATTAATACATTGATAATTCATTTGTTTCCTTGAGTACTATAGCCAGCTCCTTCCTTTTCCTTTTCTGATAATTAGTCTCACTTAATCATGCCCAGCTCTTGTAGGTGAACTGTATACACTCTTGTATATGTACTTCATGGCATATTCCTACCCCACTTGGGCTGATAATGTTTTCTGTGGGAATAATTACTTCAGTGTAAGTAAATGTTAGTAGATTGAAACATCCGGAGTT